TTTTCTAAATTGTCAAACTACACTCTTTAGCTTCCAAAATCATTTTCAAAATTACCAAACTACTCTCTTTAGCTTAAAAAATCATTTTCAAAATTACCAAACTACTCTCTTTACCTTCCAAAATCATTTTCACAATTATCAAACTACTCTCTTTACCTTCCACAATCATTTTCAAAATTATCAAACTACTCTCTTTAGCATCCAAAATCATTATTAAAATTATCAAACTACTCTCTTTAGCTTCCAAAATCATTTTCAAAATTACCAAACTACTCTCTTTAGCTTCCAAAATCATTTTAAAAATTATCAAACAACTCTCTTTTGCTTCCAAAATCATTTTCACAATTACCAAACTACTCTCTTTAGCTTCCAAAATCATTTTTCAAAATTACCAAACTACTCTCTTTAGCTTCAAAAATCATTTTCAAAATTACCAAACTACTCTCTTTACCTTCCAAAATCATTTTCCAAATTATCAAACTACTCTCTTTAGCTTCCAAAATCATTTTCAAAATTATCAAACTACTCTCTTTACCTTTCAAAATCATTTTCAAAATTATCAAACTACTCTCTTTAGCTTTCAAAATCATTTTTAAAATTATCAAAATACTCTCTTTAGCTTTCAAAATCATTTTCAAAATTACCAAACTACTCTCTTTACCCTCAAAAATCATTTTCAAAATTATCAAACTACTCTCTTTAGCTTCCAAAATCATTTTCTAAATTATCAAACAACTCTCTTTAGCTTCCAAAATCATTTTCAAAATTACCAAACTACTCTCTTTTCCTTCAAAAATTATTTTGAAAATTACCTAACTACTCTCTTTAGCTTCAAAAATCATTTTCAAAATTACCAAACTACTCTCTTTAGCTTCCAAAATCATTTTCTAAATTACTAATCTACTCTCTTTTGCTTCAAAAATTATTTTCAAAAATATCAAACTACTCTCTTTAGCTTCCAAAATGATTTTCAAAATTATCAAACTACTCTCTTTACCTTCCAAAATCATTTTCAATTTATCAAACTACTCTCTTTACCTTCCAAAATTATTTTCAAAATTACCAAACTACTCTCTTTAGCTTAAAAAATCATTTTCAAAATTACCAAACTACTCTCTTTACCTTCAAAAATCATTTTCAAAATTACCAAACTACTCTCTTTACCTTCCAAAATCATTTTCAAAATTGTCAAACTACTCTCTTTACCTTCCAAAATCATTTTCAAAATTACCAAACAACTCTCTTTTGCTTCAAAAATTATTTTGAAAATTACCAAAGTACTCTCTTTAACTTCCAAAATCATTTTCGAAATTGCCAAAGTACTCTCTTTACGTTCAAAAATCAATTTCAAAATTATCAAACTACTCTCTTTAGCTTCAAAAATTATTTTCTCTCTTCAAAATTGAATCTGAACCTCTCTCTCTCTCTCTCTCTCTCTCTCTCTCTCTCTCTCTCTCTCTCTCTCTCCTCCTTTCTCTTCTTTTCCCTTTTTTCTTTTGTTTCCAAGTCTAATAAAAAAAAAGTAACTTTATGTATATTTTTAACTACAGAAAAAAAAAAAAAAAAAAACCCTTAATACAGAATGCCAGAACTGGATTACGTGCTTGCAATAACATATTGGCTATGACACTGGAAGTCATTATTATTAATTATTATTTCTAAATATTATGATCGGTCAGAAATTAATTGTATATATTTCTAACACTATTTTTATGACTTGCAACTCAACCTCTACATTCGAAATCCCCTACATTTATTCAAAGAAGTTTATTCAACTTCATGTGTATGTTCTCATAGTTGAATCATTTATCCTAGAAAGCATCATTGACTGCATGTCAATTGAATCTGCAAATTTTCTATGTCATGTGTTCTGGGTCAGACAAGTAGAAAGTGCATTAAGTTTAATATATTTCTGTATGAACACAATTAGATATTCAAATGCCACCACAATCAGTAATAAAAGATTTTAAGAATGTTAACAAATTATTAGGTAGGAATTGGTCAGCATCAAAGGAGAAGCTGAGCTAGGAAATTTTGTAAAGAAGTTGAAAAATAAGACAAATGTTTGTTGCTAAAAGATTCAAATTTAGAGTTCGATGATGCAACATTAAGACTAAGGAAAGTGTGCTCCCACTATTTGAATAGAATTGAAGGTTTGGGAAAATGATGAGTTTTTCTTCCTCCATTTCCCCTGCAAGCTTTAAACGAAATTGATTGTTCTCTTTTAGACCTAAATAATTGATCGTTGTATAATGCAATGAATACGATATTTTGTTATTAATAATATAATAATGTACTATTAATGTTTAATTTGTTATTATCTTGTTCAGAATTATAATTATATCATATTGATTATTAAAATTTTTATATATTATATCATTTAAAAATTAGAAAATATTAATTTATTGTTGGGCATGATGTTTCACGCAAAGTGCGTGTCTGAGACTAGTTTATAGAATAAGTGCGGCGACAAGTCTCATTGAGAATTATTGACAAATTGTCTTGGTCTTCTCTTTTGTAAAAGTAAAGAGTATAAAAGAATCGTACGTGAAAGAGACCTTGTAATTGGTGTTTGAAAAAGATTTACATAAATGAAAGTAATTTTTTTTTTTGAAGATACATAAATAAAAATATTAGAAGCTCATCTTTAACTTATTCTATCAAACGTATCTACAAAGATTAATAGGTACATAGATTGGCTACAAACACGTTTAGCAAATTAGAATCTAGGCATGAAGAATCTCGATCTTAGAGCAACTTCAATAATTGTATATTTTTGTGTTTTTTGTCAGCCATGTAGGAGAGAGAAGCAAGTGAGAAGAGGAAAAGAAAGAGAGAGAGAGAAAAAAAAAAGGAAATAATAAATTTTGACAGAAAACAAAAAAAAAAAAAAAAAAAAAAAATCATTACTCACCCAAAGGCGCGTGCATTCTTCTGGGTGTGCAAATTGCTACACACGCGTAACAATCTGCACAAGTTTTTCCATTCCCCCAAAAGTAAATTCCACTCAAAAATCATATTTACACGAGAAAAATCTAGTCAAAATCCCCCTTTTCTCATTAAACAAAAGCCAATTTCTAGTCATGATTATGACCATTTTGATTAACAATTACATAGTTGGAAATAAAATTGAGTAAATTTAGAAGTCAAGCAAAGTGTTAAAAATCCTAATAATAAATGGATCAAATGGGATATTAACTCTTTTAGATCATGATTCATAATACAAAATGGACCCCGATACATGGTATAACAATTGCTCATTCTCTTCCCATCAACTCTCTAATCCCTACAATGAGGAAAGCAAAAGGGTAATAATAATCTAATATCACTAAACTCTATTATTTTATTACATGTGATAATATTTTACAGTCGTTATGCTCTGGACCCGTGTCCAGCATGGGTAACAATGCTGTTAGGCACTGTTATCTTCTTCTTCTTCTTCTTCTTCTTCTTCTTTTTTTAAAAAAAAAAAAAAAAAAATTCAGATTCGTTATAGGAGTATATGTTCATAATTTTATTACTATATGTTCATAATTGTAAGTTCATAATGTCAGAGCTCTATGTTCATAATTCAATAACTGTACATTCATACTTCCATAACTGTACATTCATAATTCAATAACTGTAACATCATAATTTTTGAAGCTCTATGTTCACAATTTTAGAGCTCTATGTTCATAATTTTATCACTATATGTTCATATTGTAAGTTCATAATGTCAGAGCTCTGTGTTCATAATTCCATAACTGTATATTCATAATTGCATAACTGTACATTCATAATTCCGTAACTGTACATTCATAATTCAATAACTGTAAAATCATAATTTTCGAAGCTCCATGTTCACAATTTTAGAGCTCTATGTTCATAATTTTATCACTATATGTTCATAATTGTAAGTTAGTAATGTCAGAATTCTGTGTTTATAATTTTATAACTTACATTCATAATGTCATAACTGTACATTCATAATGTCATAACTGTACATTCATAATGGCACAAACGAATAACGCCGTTAACGGCGAGACAAAATCAATTTTTTTTTTAAACTGGAATGACGCGTTTTTCTTAAAAACGACGTCGTTTTGGACCCGTGTCCACAATGTATTGTGGACACGGGTCCAGGGCATAATTTGCCCATATTTTAGATATCAAATTATATCAAAATAAAATAAAATTTCTTAAACTTTTTTTAAAAACAAATTTTGAGGAAAAAAAAAAATCAAGTTTAGTGTAGATTTAAATATATTTTAGTTGGAATGGAAATTGAAGTTATTATTTATTTTTGGAATAAGATTCAAATTGGCCAATGAATGTAATCTGAAAATACAATTAGACCAGAAAAAAAAGTACAATTAGGTTATTGAACACTTCAAATGTATGCAATTTCACCTGATAGCTGGTTACCTGCTTACGTGATGACAACTGAGTTGACATTTTTAATAATTTTTTTTTAAAAAGAATTTTAGAAAAAATGACTAGGTGGCCGCCCTTCTTCCATCGTCTCTGGCATAGACGAAGGAGGGGGAAAAGGGGTAGCTGGCGGCCACCCCGTTGTTTTTTTTTTTTTTCAATTTTTTTAAATTTATTATTACAATTTATTAAAAATTATTAAAAATGTCAACTTAGCTGTCACATACAAGTAACCTGCTAAAATTGATGATAACTTGCTATCTTGTAAAATTACATATATTTAAAGTGTTCATTGACCTAATTACACATTTTTAGGGTGTTTAATGACACTTTTTTTTTTCGTTCAGTGGCCTAATTACATTTTTAAAACCTTATTCCTTTATTTTTTATGATGATTGCCATTTGCCGGCATTGATGAGTACAAGGCTGTGTGAATCCTTCCCGCTTTGACTTGTGAAGATAGTCCCCACACCATTGATGAATCAAAGGCTACAAGCATCAACGTGCTCTACAATCCTTCATTTCATGCCTTCAATTCCACATTCCCCGATCAAAACCCTAAACCTAGCTCACAATAATTCAAGAAAATGGTATCTTTAGCCACCCATTTCACATCCTTCGTCTTCCTTCTCCCACTGGGCATCCGCCGCCTCTTCTGCTCCTCCTCTCTGTACCTCAAGAACCCCGCCGTCTTCAGATCAAGAATCTGGTATTTCTCTGAGCCCAAATGGAAAAACATTGATTTCTACGCTCTCCTCATTGTTCTTCCCCTTGCCTCCTTCTCCCTCGTGTTCCTCTTCTTGGCATTTTCTGTTCACCCCACTTACGGCTTCACACTGTTGAACCAATCCTTAGTCATTTTCCTGTTCTGGGTGCTCATGATCCTCATAATCGCCAAGGAAAGTTTTGATCTTTACAGTATCCCAGAGAGTTTCTTATTCATGTATGCTGGAATTGCATTTTATATTGAGTTCTTGATGAATGGGAATGGAATAGTGGGGCTTGGTGGTGATCTGTATGGGGTTTTGGGTGTGTTAGCTCTAATTTGTGTTGCTTGTTGCATGTTCTTGGCGATCAGACCCACGGCTTTCCTTGGGGAGTTTTTACTTTCCTCTGTACTTATTCTCAAGGGGACTTGGGTTTTGCAAGTGGGGTTATCATTATATACTGACACAATTGGGTTTAAAGGGTGTGAGAAAATTACTGAAGATGTGATTAAAGGGAATGCTGATGTTAAGTGTCCACTTGAGGATGATATCTTGAGGGGTGTGGCACTGATGAATTTGTTGTTTGTTGGGCATGTGATTCTGGTCATGATCTTGAGCTTCCTGCTTTTCGGAGTGGCGAATTGGAACCGAAACTCGAGGTCTGGAGAGACTAATGGGCCATTGCTAGCTGAAATTAGACCCGAGAGTGGGGTGATGCACCAGCTTTCTGAATTCGAGTTAGAATGAGAAGCCTTCATTCTTTGTCTTACTTTCATAGACTACTGGTAACTTTCTTTCATCTTGTTCATTCACCATAGTACTCTTAGATTCATCTTCTTCTTTTTTTTTTTTTTTTTTTTTTTTTTTTTTTTTTTTTTTAAATAATCACACATTTCTGGCTTTTGCAACTTTGTATGACCTGCAATATAATGAAAAAAGAGTTACTTTTTCCAGTCAATGTGATTGATTTCTCTTATTACTGATCCTCACTAACATGATTTGTTAGAAAGAATACCATAAGTTCTTGAACTTTATTAAATCTATGTGTCTTTGAAACACACGGGATACTGCAGTGAGTTTTTCAGGCTGTCACAGTTACAGATTCACAAGCAGCGAGACATCCGAAATGATTGTTTCAAAATATGTTTACACAAACATACTCTAATTACCTCTTGGAGCATGTTGTGCTTCCATTTTTAATATTTTAATGGCTGTACAATTTCCACTTAGTAGACTGTCATGCAAAGGGGTGCTCTTCAGGATTTTGATAATTGCATAGTAGAAGTCAGTATTTGCAGTTTAACTATTTTAGTAATATTTAGGATTTTGATTTTCATATAATGAAAAGGAAAAGAGTAGAACTTCATTAGATCTTTTTCTAGCTTTCTGGATTGGCTGGAAGAAACCGTTTTGTGGCCATACCATTCTATGGGGGCATTTGGTTTAATAGTGGGAATCGAAATCAAATACTACTTAGGAATCAGAATGAGTTTTAGTACAAATCTTTATCTCTTAGGTACCATAAGAAGAATGGTAATAAAAACACATTACAACAAAAAATCAGAGGTTCCAAGGTGTCTTGGAATTCCATGCATAAAACCTTTGTTGAACTTCAAGGTTTCATCTAGAGCCGAGAGAAGTTCAATCAACAGCAGGTATGAATTAATTGTTTTTTGTTTTTGTTTTTAAAGTTTGATGCCTTGGTATATCCTTACATAATGTATGGAATATCTCTACACACCACACCAGTAGTACTCAAAATTTATCGTTGCTTTATTATGGGTTTTGTGTCAATCTGCTGCATTATTTCTTTTCTTACTCGAGTTTAATGGTGTAGATTCTTTGAAAGGTGGAATCTGAAATTTTACCATTTCTTTAGTCCTTTTTTTTTCTCCGTGATTGAACCAATATTTAACTCAACAACCTTGAGGATAGTGAAGGGTCAGATTCCCGTGCAGATAGTGCTTCTCGTGCGGCCATGCACTATTAGGTACGCATAAATGCACCACAAAGTGTTCGAAAATGCATTTCATTCTGGTGCATTTTTGAACGTTGTGTGGTGCATTTATGCATACCTAATGGTGCAATCCGCAGTGACTGCACGGGAAGCATTGTCCTCATTTGAACCCGTATTTGATAGTGAATATCCTTTGTTTTTAGATTGACTGCCTCCACATCATATAAATATCCCTTACCATATCTATTGTGTAATGTGAAATCTGGGATGAGAGTAACCAAGTAGAAATTCTAGAGACGGAATTGATGCTGGTATTGACAAGTATAATGATATTGGTCTGATATAGAAACTGTCAACCATTGAATCAACTATGAAATTCTTTTTATTATTAATCTTCCATTAAATGTTATTCTGCTTTGACGTTGTTCATGGTCTATGCCATAAACTATATAATGTTGATATTGTTCATGGTCTATGCAGTATTTATGTTGAAATGGTACTTGCTGGTTCATGACAATTTCGTCATCATTAACATCTGCTTCTCGTTACTACTATGGCCTTATTAGGCGAGAAGTTGTGGGTCATGGAGAAAGACCAACTTCTTTCTAGTCTTATTTATTGCTTTCCCTTGAGCGGTAATGAATGGATCGAGGAATTTTATGTGGAAGGTTTATGTTCTATCTGAGGTTATCCATCAATAATGATAGGTAATTCAGTAACTTTATCCTTTGGCTTAAAAATGTATCTATATTCTAAAATCTTTGTGTTTTTCAATAATTCAACAATTCTATGCTTTTTTAGGTATTTTTCTATGATGTTTTAGGCATTTGATTCAAGCAGAGGTCAGTCACCGAGATCTAAAACCCCTAGATCACGTTTCTTTTCAAGCATAAAATGTCACGTGTGTGCTTCCTCCATCAGCAAATTATACCATGGACCAAGGTCTACCTTGCATTGTAGACCCTGATCAAAAAATAACTTTCAGATTCTATATCTATAGTTGACATATTCTGTACCTGCAGTTGATAGTTTCTGTATCCGTAGCTATCATATTATGTGTTGGCAATTATCAAGTCAGATTTTGTATCTATAGTTGACACATTCTGTACCTGTAGCTATCATATATTCATATTATGTGTAAGCAATTATCAAGTTAATTGTTTACATGTACATAAACAGTTAATTGTAGGTACAAAATGTGTTTTTGTATCAGGGTTCACAATGCAATATGATTATATGAACCCTGGTCCATGGTATAACAATTGTCTTCCATCTTATGTTCTTAATGCCCCAAAAAAGTCACTGTCTAGACTTTCCTTAGTTGCCTTCTTTTGTCCTAAAAGGGACACATGTATTGGAGCATTATCTTGACCATTTGTTGAATCTTTGGAGTCACTTTATTCTTTTGTTCTTTTACATTATTGAAAAGAATTCTAAACGTGTTTTCAACCACTTCCCTTCCCTGACCTTGTACGAACAAAACTTTACTTTTAATGTTGTTATCCTCGACAGGATTGAACAGATACTACAATGTAATAGAGTCAGTAGCATTCAAAAAAAAAAAAAAATCCTCGACAGGAGAAAGATATATGTTATGTTTTGCTGAGTGTTGACAAAAGGATGTTATACACAAGTGGAAGCTGGATAACACTTGTTGATCAATCTGATCTCTTACTGATACACTTTGAGCAGATAATCTCCTCCGGTTCTAGTGATGCCCTCTCAAAAAATGTCATTTGTGAGTTTGTGTGTAGAGATGCCAGTGACCCTTAGCTTAACGGGTTATGGCTAGCCTGTGTAAGATTTGAGATCTCGAAAACAACTCTGTTGATCTCATGCAAAGAAACCAGAAAAAGACACTATCCCTATACAAGAACAGCATTATTTCATATTGTGGTTTATAACCTAGATCACGCTAGTTTGGTGGTTTAAAGGGCAACAGAACTAACCATCTGTTTAACTCTGGGTCTGGGATAATATAAGAAACGAAGGTTTAAAACGAGATACTTGGGATGTTAAATAACCGGTTGAAAGCTCGAGGATTAGGGTAACTTAGGCTGTGAAGTGCCTCTTCCAAGTGGTGTTGGTTTAATGTCTGGTTTTGTAAACCAGGTGGAATACAGGAATTGCTTGTTGGGACCTACGTGGTTGCATATAATCTTAAGCTTTTGTCTTTCCCTCATCCATCTTAGCACTATCTTCATGTGCCTTTTGCTTGTTAATCCTCGGACTCCAACTTCCTGGATTTTGTAAACCAAAACCAAATAACAAGTCAGTTAAGTGTTGCCTATATTTCACAATATTAATATTTGGAAGCAACATGTTCACGATGGTAAAAATGAGAATCCAAGCTCGCACGGGATTAGCTCAATGGTTAAGTAGGCAATATTTGGGATTATGCCCAAAGTGGGCAGATCCCTTGTGCACACTGGCATTTGGCCATGTCTACATTGAATCACCGTGATTTACATCCTCCCAAATGTTCTGTCGGGTGGGGTTGGGGATTCAACATTTTGGGAGAAGAAAAATGAGAATCCGAGCAATGAGGTCTTTCATATGACGGCAGTAAATGGCGTAAAGGCACAACACACAAACTAATCAATCGAAATGCTTACAAATTCCTAAGCAAAGCAGTTACCGCATTACATAAACCTCTTAACTAGAGATTCTGTGTTTTTCTTTTTAATCAAACCATTAGTGTAGCATATGATAATCTTTTTCCAACACTACAACTACAGCATTCTCCAAATTTAGAAGGAAGAAAAAAAAAAAAAAAAAAACAGTACTTTATGATGATATAAGGACTTCTTTTCCTCAGATAGCACACTAGTTGAATTAGTAAGCATTGGATTAAAATAATTAATTTCTACATCTAAATTTTTAAAAAATGATAAAAGAGCAAGTTTTCTATAAACACATAGTAAATTTAAAATTTTGAGGAAATGCAATTGGTGATTGATTACCTTCACACGTTCCCAGGTATCAGCAATGCTGAGAGGACCATGCTCCTTCAAAATGTCAAAAATAACCCTGGTGATAGTCTGTGTCTGCTCTGGTGGGGTTTTCAGCTCTATTGGTTTCATCTTTGGCTTTGGCTTCCTCGCCACCATGTACCTTATTGCTGTCCCAAACATGATAGCTCCTCTCCAGATCTTAGAAAATCAATGTCTGGCTTTAGTTTTTGGTGAAGCTTAACTTTACACGTATCGACAATTATAACCTTGCATTTGCACAAATATACCAAATTAACCAACAGAATAAACATAAAACCATTATATCATTAGGACTTAGGAGTATTGCTGATAAATCTCTATAGGAGATTTGCTTCCTATGAGTGGAGTAGCAAGCAACTAGCGCCACATGGTCTGAAGTTTACTTGAATAAAACTAAGCCATCATGCTTAAGATGACAGACACCACACAAAACATAGACAAAATAAAGATTTATGTACAAGCTAAGGTAAATGATATGAGACCAAGATGGGATAACCTTATTTATCTAGGCTGTTGCTTGGATTCTCCTATTTACTCTATTGAACATTTCATTTTCAAATATTTCAAAATGTAGGTAGAACTAACTGACTTCTTATTTGCTTTTGAACATTTATGCTTCTTGAATAAACATGCATTTGACAGTTAAGTGTTCATCAAAAGAACACATTCAACCAGACAATTATTAAGGCATTTGGCAATAGAAATGTAAAAAAGTGTCATGGCTATATGATAGCGTGGCAACTGCCTGTGTGTTACATTTCATATATTTGAATTAAAATGCATGATTGGATACTAAATTTATTCTCAGTATTTTCAGAAATGCAGAACTAGTATTTTGCAAAGTAAAAATCTTGGCTCTCATCTTGAAGGGATTCCTTGAAGTCATAGTGCTTAGAATTCCTCCTCTTTAACTGTAGAGGCACCAATCTTTCTAGTTTCTACCATTACGAATGTGGCATAAGCCACTAACAAATCATTTTCTTCTTTAACGTGTTAAAACCTTATTCACACTGAATTGGGCAGAAATGCTTAACCATTTATGAACTGCAACATTTCAAGCCTTAAAAGACAAGACACACAGAGCTACTTGCAGTCACGATACTTAGAAACAAAGCCTACCAATTGCAAGCATATTAAAAAATCATATGAAAAAGCCCTAACTTTATTAAACTTAGATAAACTAGTATCATAACAAAATCCTGTCAGTTCTCGCTGTCAATTGAGAAAGCAATTAAGCGATGGCAAAGCAATATCCTTGCAATTTAAAGAGGGACTAAAATACCTTAACAGTCTTCAAGAATCAATTTTTAACCAGGAATTTAGGGTTAAGGATTTGATCATTCGATCCTGAGGAGTTGCTCACGAGTGGACGACGGTCGACAGAGCTTCTGACTGAAAGCTTGAGGCGAAGGCGGCGGAGCTGCTGGCTCGGTGCGGGCTATGGCGCACAGGCAGTAATGCAGGCTGCTACTGCTTGGTGAAGAATGAAATTTTCTGCCAAATTGAAATTTTTGTGTTGACCAAATATTTTCTTCTTTTTTTTTTTTTTTGAAAACACCAAATATTTTCATTTGATTTTATTTTTTTTGAATATCTAAATACAGTAAATTTGAAAAATCATTAAGGCTTTGGTTAAATATTAGCCTATATTCAATCTTAATTTATTTGACAATTATTAATGGGGAAATCGGACTTTTGGTCCCTCAGTTAGTACCTCATTTGCAATGTCGTCCTTGCTTTCCAATTTGGACAGATTTGGTCCCTCAATTAGTCTGATGTTTGCCAATTTAGTCCTTCTGTGAGTTAATCACTCTAAACTCCGTTAAGAGCATGGACAAAAGTGGAATTTCACATATCCTTAATTATTATAAGTCTATCTCTTCCCCTTGCTCAGCTTGGTTTGCCATTTCCGCCACCCATGTCTTCAACCCTAACCTTGGAATAGAACACACCATTGACACTTCAACCCTACTGAGCCGATTCGGCGAGTCTCTGCCTCGACTACGACCAGGAGGTGCACTCTACAACCCCTCTCTTCACCGAGCACACATGCTCTCTGCGATGCCTACGATGCCTCTTCGGCCACCATCTTCTGCTGCAACCACGCCGTCGTCTTCTACCAGAACTGCGAGTGGGAGTCCCACACTCTCTACCTCTCACTGGCTTCAGCGGCTGCCCATCCGTCCCTAAACTACTGGTGGTTTGCGGGTTCCTGGATGTTGGGAAAGTGCTTAACAGACTTGAACTCTTAAGTTTGGATGTTACTATGTACAAGCTAAGTTAGAAGTCTGCTATTATTTTTTTTGAGAAGAAGAAGTCTGTTATTATTAAATGGATCAATGTTGTCACTTTAATTTATTTATTTTTATCAAGTTTGATAAGGACTTGAAATGGAGAACCAGAGTTGAAATAGTTCCAATCCATTGCAGTAGTTCCAACAGCTTCAGAATCACCAAGTCCACCATGGAAGAAGCTTACCAAGAAGCTGAACAAAGTCTGGGCTTAAAAGTCAAAGGCCTGCTAATCACCAACCCATTTAACCCACTCGGCACAACCGTGACTCGCCGTGAACTCGATCAACCCATCTCCTTCGTCGTCTCCAATAACATCCACATCTTCAGCGTCGAAATCTACGCCTGCCATCGTGTTCAACACCTCCCCAGGATTTACCAGCATCCTCACAGCTTCCGCAGCCGACAAAACCCACCGACATCGCGACCTCTTGTTGCGTATCCATGTCATGTCGAGCCTGTCCAAGGATTTCTGGCTGCAGGGGTTCAGAATCGAGATGATCTACTCCGGAAACGAGACGGTGGTGTCGGCGGCGACGAAAATGTCCAGTTTCGGCCTGGTTTCGTCGCAGAGCCAATACCTGCTTGCCAACATCCTCGGAGATAGGAAATTCACCAAATGTTACATTAGAGAGAACATGAAACGATTGAGGGAAAGGAAATAGAAGATGGTTTTGGTGCTTCAGGAATCCGGGGTTTCGTGTTTGAACGGTGATGCCGGGCTGTTTTGATATGAGGTGTTTGCTGAGCTCTGACACGTTTGAATCGGAAATGGAGGTTTGGAGGAGAGTGGTCCGCGATGTCGGGTTGAATATCTCGGCGGGGTCCTGTTTCCACTGCAGTGTGGTGGCAGAAATGGTAGACCCGGCGGAGCAACGAAAAGGAACTAAGCTAATATAATAAGGGTAAGAGAAATTCCTATAATACCCATGCTGTAAACGGAGTTAGGATGACTAAGTAACAGAAGGACTAAATTGGCAAACGTCGGACTAATTGAGGGACCAAATCTGTCCAAATTGGAAAGCAAGGACAACATTGCAAATGGGGTACTAACTGAGGGACCAAAAGTGCGATTTCCCCATTATTAATTGTTTGATTTGATTAAAAAATCAACTCCAAAATGTTAAAATTCAAAAAGCTGCTTAAAGCGACTTTTTCAATTAATTTTTTGAAAAAATAATTATATCAAACATCAATAAATTAACAGTTAATTTACCAAACACCTCCCTACAATCAGCTAATATTATTAACTAGTTATACCATCTAATTAACTCAATCAATTAAAAGCTATCAGCTAACAACCATTTACTAAATTGAGTCTAACTCATTTTTCAGATTTTCAAACGAATCCTTAATATTTATTTATAGTGAGCATATCTTACTTTATTATGCAATGTACATATATAGAATTGTACTTTTGTATTGATATTGCTATGTGGGCACTAATAGAAAGCAAATGTTTGCTTTTATCATGTGGCATGTTATTCATATTTGCAAAGTGAAATGGATGGGACCATGTGTTACTATCATGTGGTTATCATTTGTATTTATCTGTTGTTTTTAATCATTTTTAGTTACTTATCGTGTGTTACTTTTATCCACCATTTTGTGTAGTTATTTATTGAATATAGTAAAAGTATAATTTAGACTTATTTTTAAATTATATTATTACTATCTAATATATGAGATATATCAAAATTTACTCTTAAAAGATTTTTCATAAACCTTTTTCTTTTTCTCATTAAAGAATGAGATTCCCCGTTCTCATACAATAAAACAAGCTAAGGGACAAGTCCGGTGAGAGAGGTGAATCCTCTACTTTTAGTCGTTAAAAAGTTAGGGCGCATATATAAAGAAAATAAATAAAGTAGCACTATCAGTAGTATACATGATAGATATAGTTTAACCCCTCTTCTCTAATAACTCGCCTAGCATAGTTATATTATATATAGAGGGGAAAGTAACAGAGTTAGGGTACAATGACATTGGAGCTAAGTATTTTCATACTTAAGAGAATTTCAAACTAATTTTGAAATATGGTCTTTGGAGGTGAACGAATTAAATCCAAATAGGGAAGTAAAGATTTTGGTAAATTGTAGTGTAAGTAGTATAAACAAATAAAGGTAATGAGGGTGATGTAAAAATTTATGAGCACTTAGAGGATTGTACTAATAGTGAGTATGAAATGGATGATACACATCCCATAGAGATGATTTTGATTTTGATCAAAATGTTGATCTCACGGTGGAGTAGGGTGGTCTTGAGGGTAATTCTGGAAACTAGGTTGAAGAGTTGGGACAAAAATTTGGATTAACCTTCTCCCATACGGTGGAGTATGGTGGTCTCTCAAAACTTGAGACAAAAAATTGGATTAACCTAATCTAGTTGATGATGTATCATTAAAAGAATCATATAGTACGTGATGCATGCACTACGTGGCTTGTGTTTAAGGCATCTACTGACATGAAATAGACATTGTTTAGCAATTATTGGTTAGCGGATTATATTAGCAGTTCACAGATAGCGGATTGTGTTAACGAGTTTGACGAGCGACTTGTAAAAAGATGTTTGATAAAATTAGCTGTTTATACTGGATTTATGTGTCATTGATTAATGCTTTTAAATCATAGTCTCCTATATAAACACCTAGGTGTTAGGCTTATGTTTACTATTGATTTTGAACTCTCAAAACTTTGATTTTCTCTCTTGCTCTCTAAAAATTGTTTCCTATAAAAATCTGTCAACACTTCTATAAAATAATCGAAGTTGCTCGATCTTTCACCAAATTTTATGTTTGAGTGCTCAAACACTAAAGTCGTAATCCGTTCTATATAAATCAAATATAATTTATTTATATAAATAAGTATCATTTACATATTTGCCTAAAAGTTAAAAGCTTATATAATAAAATAAAACTCACACAATTAAGCAAACAACGCGTTAGATTTTAACGATAGGATAACATGTCGGTGGTTGGTCCTGTCTTCCCCGTCGTTTCCAATCCAAGCAAACAACTGCAAGCCATGGCCCATGTGTAATTGGGTATGAATTTGCTTATTTGCCTCTATTTTATTCCTTTAAAAAAATGCCCCAATTTATTGTTTTAATTACTTATCAATAATGCAAATTACACCATTAGCCCTGACTAAATGGCTAAATGCCACATAGAAGTCAACTTTAGTGCCACATTAATACATTATCTAAAAATGTTACATTATACTTCTAATCAACTGATAAAATGTCAATTACATTATTCTACAAAAAGACTTTTGAGTTTAGAGTTCAATTACACTATCAAATCTAATTTAATGAGTTATTTGACAATTTTTTTATAATTGCTATAAATTTTTAGTCTTGTCATTGTGAACATTTTGAATTTATAAAGAATGTCTTATACAAATACATACATTTTAATAATACAAATTGCTAACCTAGCGTTAGTAAGTTCAATGTGATAAACATTAATGTTTTTTGTGATTACTAATGTGGTAAATATAATCAAGTCCACGGATACGAATAATTTGTAGGGTCGAATCGTTGATGGATCCTTTAATAGTCTACTTGTTGGTTTATGTCTTTAGGCTCGAGTATTGCTATAGTGGGTTAGAGGGTCCCGAGCTAAATATAAGGGAGTAGAAGATGTCAAAAAGTCTCACCTCCAAGCATTTAATGCGATATTTATAGAGAACGGAAGGGGACACATGCTGGGCTCTCGACATGCCCGTCACATGGGCTTAGATCTCTAACCACCCACTACGACGAGGTAAATCTATGCGAAGTTATGTGCCGAGCAATCTAGCTCGGGAAGATCCTCCAGACCTAATATGCCCAGGATCTCCCTTAAGGAGTGAAACGTCATCACGACTATTAATTAATTCAGTTATTGTATTTTAGGTCGGTAGGGCCGGGTTCATGGTCAGTCCAGATCGAGAATGGCCTCCCTTGGTGATACGATCAGATACCGATTAAGTGTACAGTACGAGAAGGATCATATACCTTGGGAGTATTCCTTATCAATTACCTATTAGAGGTAATTTTTTAAAGCTAATCTAACATTTTCGAATAATTTGTGTGATTTTAAAATTTAAGAAATGAAATTAAGAATGTAGACTAGTCAAGTCCCTCGTTAGCTATTAAGTCAAAGTTTGATTCAAGTTCGGTTAAATTCAAGATTGAATCAAATTCAACTCAACTTATTAAGT